TTTTTGTTATTACTTTTATCGTCTTTGCATAGCTAAAGTGTATTTTTATAAACTAGGTGGGGGGGGGGGGGGGGGAATAAAAAATAAAAAAATAGCCAGAGATACCATGCAGGGTTTTTAAGGTGTGGAAGCATGTCTTTATGGGCTGATGAAGACTTGAACTTTGAACCTTCAATCCAAAAGGCTCAAACATTTTTTGAAATGTCAGTCAGTTTCAACCCAAAACCTTCTGCTGGAGAAGAGTGTTAAACGTTAGCGTCTAACATTTAGCACAAAAATACCGAGAGAGGATTTTTTTTTTTTAATAGGTGGGTTTTGCGTGAACTTTAACATACGACTATTTTTAACATCAGAATCCTGTAATTGTCATTGTCCTGCATTTGGCTTTGGTCACAGGGTTAAAGCTGTCTGGACTTTCCTTTAAGAAAAAGAAAACACGTCACTCCTGCTCCAACCAGAGTCAAACTAAACAGGATTTAGATCAAAGTGAACCTGACCGTCCTGACGAGATCTTAGATGGTTTTTTTGCATGGGAACGCAATGTTTCTTTTTTTTAAGTTAAATGTCTAAGTTATGGTTATTTATTTAGGGTAGAGGCAAAATACAAAGAAAACATTGACTCTGATGATGAAGCTATACCCGTTTAGAAAAACACAACTTCTCAAGTTTGCAAGTTTGGCCTGAAAGATCGCCAGGCCATTAATTGTAAATATTTTCTGCAGCTCTTCTGTGCTCTACAGGAAACTAGAAACGTATCAGACACCAAATGTAAACCATTATGTGCACAAAAATTCCCTCCAGAGCTCAGTGGAGGTGTTAAACTACAAACACCAGGCTATTAGATTCACATGCGATTACTGCAAAGAGGATTTCACAAAGTAACTTCAGGAGTGCAGCAGAGAACTACAGGAACATTTTGGGTAAAAAACAAACTGTTGATCTCTTTCTCGCTGAGAAGAATTTTTTTTAATTGTTTTTTTTTTTTTTGCTCATTCTGTTTATTTCACTAATGTCCACCATGAGTAAAAGGGTTGTGTGTTGGTTTTCTACGAAAAGTGAGCAAACAGTCGATCAACACGCAGAGCAAAACTGTGCAGCCTGGAATGTTCTGAGCTTCTGAGCATTTCTCTTTTTTTTTTTTTTAAACCACTGCTGCCCACAGATGAAAGTAAAGCTTTTCAAAATGTTAAAATCCGATTACAACTCCACGCACACAGTGGCATTTTACTCCACTTTTCACAGCTCCTTAGATGACTAAACATTCCCCACCTTCAGGAACGCTCGCAGTCGGTCCGTCTATGGGCTTTAAGGCTCAAACTCCAGATAATTTCCCCATGAACAATCAACGGTCTGAAGGCTCTGGGAGCGATCCGCTAACCGTGGCCAAATACTTCTGTGTCAGTTTTGTCAGAGCAGGATGGGGAAAATGTTCTGACCTGGAAGGTCAAGTTATTGTTGGGCTTCGAAACTCATCACCGATTGGTTCATTAAGTCTGTCAGAGGCAGATCTCAGTCACAAAAACCACGTGACAAAAATAAACAAACAAGCAAGCTGGAAATAACTGTGGGATGCAAATTTTCACTGTGACATTTTATAAGAGAATGTCTTCATGTTCCTTTACTTAATGAGAAACTTTATGATTATTATGATTAGGATTATTTAAGTTAACGACCTGTGCAATAATATATGCCTATTTCTTATTACTTAACAATCTGGGGGGTTAAATTTGAGCATTAGTAATATTTTTTTTGTCTCATCGTCATAATTATTGTTTCTATTATTTTGATTCTTCACACACACACACACACACACACACACACACACACACACACACTGTAGAAAATACGGAACACAAACAGCTGTCAAAACGACTTAATTAAGAAAGTAGTAAGGAAAAAAGATCGAAAGAAAGAAGAAAGAAAGAAAGGAAGAAATAATATAATCACACACTGGTTAGAATAAGTACAAAAGTGAATACAATATCTGTCTATCTATCTATCATATTTCAATAGGCTTGTTTTCAGATTAAAAGTGACTTTTGGAAAAAAGAAAAAGAAAAAAAACAACAACCTTCAAGTAGGTACCAGGCAAACTTTTCATCAAGCAAACATTAATAGTAAAAAAATATTTTTATGAGTCAAATGTCTCATTTAGAATGTTTTTGTTACTTGTAAATAAAAAAAATCCTAATTGACACAAAAAGTCATAAAAAATAACTTTGTGTAACCTACATAATACGTTTTTCTGTGTGTTGAAGCAGCAAACAAACATGTCACACGTGACGTTTTGTTGTTTTTCCTCGGACAGGAAAAATACTTACAACACTTAAAGCGGAAGTTTAACATAAAATATGTGAAATTTTAAAATAGATGTTTTCGCATTAGTAGCTTTTGTGTCCACCAAATATCGAAACTGTCTCCAGATGTGATCAATAAAAGGTTTTCTGGGCCCTCGGCTGCTTTGACATTTTTCCTGCTGTCTTCACCTGTTGTGTGAACAACAAAGGAGATGTGGGAAAAATCACCACTGGAACAAAAACAAGCTTCCCCTTTCCCTGAAAATCAGTTTTAGAAACACTAGAAAATGAAGGCGTGCATGCACAGATGCAACCAATAGGCGGTACTGTGCCATTCCTCGGGTCGCTCTCTCCATCTCCAGCCCTGAGGACATCACCGTATCTCTGGCTTTCCTCCTACTTGACCTAAATCCAGTTTCTCTGCTGTCCCTGACGGCAGGACTATCACACAGCCTGCGAGATAAGCTACGAGGAAACAACACTGTGGAGCTTTTTCACCCTCTCTCTTCCGCTCTCTCTCTCTCTCTCTCTCTCGGAGTAGTTAATACCTCTGCCTTTCTGTCCTCAGATCAACCCCAACGCGAGTTTTGCGCCTGGATCTCCACCAAAGGGACCTCTTGTAGAGCGTCGCGATGATTTACGTGGAGCAGAAAGAACTGACGTCTCTCCCAGGAAGGATTTTATAATATTCTCATCCGCGGGATTTTTTTTTTTTAAAGGTGCAAAAACCAGCTGGATCCATAAGCGCAAAAGTCGAAATGTTAGACGATAAGGCGCCGAGATCCGAACTCGGGGCTCCGTCTTTTTACATCGAGAATCTGCTGCGGACATCCGGCGCGGATTCCTCGGCCGGAGAGAGCGTGGAGACCTCCGGGTTCAAAGTTTGGGGGGCTGCGCCCTTCCCGGCGGTCAGTCGGGTGCTGGAAACGGGACGGCCGCTTCAGAAAGCTGCAGGTGAGTTCCCATCCTGCGCCTTTCTTTGCTGGCTCGAAACAGCTGCACTATAAAAACGACTTTTGGAGGATATTAAACTCTATCCATTAAAATTACTTACAATTTTGTTGTAGCCAGTTCGAATAAATCAGCTGCTTTTATGTTGGTAACACGCCTTACCTCCACGTTTAGTTTATTTATTTATTTTTTTAGCAGAAGATGTCGGTTCAGTCAGCTATAGCTATTGTCGTTCATTGTGTGCTGTGTCCAGAGAACAGCAGAGGCGCCTCCAGAAGGTTTTCAGAGGGGTGACCAGATGGGGTGCCTCCAAATCTAGGAGCTGGCATACCAAGACCAAATGAGACAACAGAATTTCAGCAGTTTTATAACAATGTGGCTAAACAGAGGGAGGCGTGGCCTGGAGTGAATGGGCATTTATGAAGTTTTGTCAACATAAATATTGCACCTCCATCTGTGCCGTTAAATTAATGTTAATAGAAAGATTTAGAAGAGTAGCAGGTGCCTCCACTTGTCCCGTCCCACGTTTTCTATTCTGTGTTATTTTCCTTTTTATTTTTATTTTCAATGTTTCAGATTTACTGTTGAACTGGGTTAAACTAAAAATGGCTAATTTCCCCTCTAAAGTAAATACAGTATTCAAAATTTGATAACAAGTGAATATATCAACTCGGAAAAATGTAAAAACGTGTTGTGACTGAGAAACCTTCTAAAAAGTAGGATTGTATTAAGCTAGTTTATTGATAGCGCTAATGCTAATGTCACTTGCAAGCTAACCTTTTTAACCCTGAGTTTAAGATGATTTAGTCAGTGTGTATGCATAATTTTTGCTATTAAAATGGTACACATGTCACTTTCTCATAATAAATTCAAAAGGTTTATTACTGTACCCCGCCTCTTGCCCAATGGCTGCTGGCGTCGGGCACAAGCCCCCCCCCCCTCACGACCTGGCAAGTAAAAGTGTTTTAGATAACGGATGGACAATATATAGCTTATTACTATTTCTCTCCATTTTAATGCCGTCATCACATAATATCCATTATTTTGGTCTCTTTTTAATGTAGAGCAACCAAAATGAATATAGATGTCTTTAAAATGTTTGAATTAACAAGTAATATTTTAAAATTCCATCAGTTTTATTTTTCTTAATCAGTGTAATAAAGGTTAAGTGTCCTAGATAGAAGAGCTGATTCTTTTCATTTGTGACAATCATGGATAATTGTATCCGGGGCGATGGCAACAGTGGGAATTGTCCAATTTAGACAACATTTGTGTTATAATAAGATAATGAAATTACACATCACCTCACCTTTATAATGTTTAGAGCTTAGTTTGGGACTCATGACCTGGATAACCCTTTTCTGAAAGCTTCTCCACAAATAAACAACCCAACTCCCCAATTAGTCGCTTCCTTTTGGGCCAACTGGCAAGGAGAAAATAAAACTTAAACAATGTTTGCTTGTTTCTGAGGACAAATAGCTTAATGTACAAACGCTAAGGCTTAAAGGCTCCTAAATAAATTAGTTTAATTTCTACTTTTTAAGCACTCCAGTTATTTTTACATTTCTGAACTTTACTCACTCAAGAAAAATGGTTCAGTTTTTATTAGTTTTATTTGTACAAAATGACAACAGCTGCCTGAGGGTTCGTAGCTTAGCTTTGGATCTAGTTCAACTTTAGCATTAGCTAAGTTGCTAAAGTGGGATACAAACTTCAGAATTTGCTCCAAAGAGGAAATTTTTATCAACCGCAAATCTTATGACAATTTGTAATGACACCAAAAAGAGTTGAGTTAAATTATAATCAACATGTTCAGGTAGGATCCGTTATCAAAATAAAAATAGACAAGTTTCAAGAATCTGACCATCATGGGACATTACATTTTTTGAACCAGATGTAGATTATTTTAATAGATAAAGCTACCAGATTTATTTATTTTTTGTGCGTGTGTCTGCTCTAATATTTGGCCGGTGTTTTTCTCAGGTGCAAATGTTGTTTTGAGGTAATAGCTTTTTCTTTTCTCTGGTTTTTCTCCACAGATCTTTATGGGTCCAGTGTCACAGATAAATGGGGCGTCCATGCAACACGGAGACAAGGGGATTGCCAAGTTTTACCAGACTCGGCAGAGGAGAGCGACGAGTCAGAGGAGAAGAGAGATGATAGTTTAACAAACGACAAAGAGGAAGAAACTGTGCAGTCTTCCTGCATCCTTGGGGAGGATAACTGTGATACAGGTCAGTTATAACCACAATGTGAGCAATCTCTCTCTCTCCTTCCTTTTTAAGAAAGAATTGTATTTTACAGTTTGTACAAGAGTTGATTTGTCATTACTTACGAAAATTGTTTTCTGATTCTTCAAAAACTGAAAAATTGTCTTCTTTTTGGCAATTTTGTCCAACTTTTTAAAAATTGCTTAAGTATCTTTTCTTACTTTTGAAAGTCTGATTGAACCTGGTGCATAAAGTCTCCGGGTCCAAACGGCTATGATACATTACAGGCTGATATACTGGTTCTCACAACAAAATAAAAAAAAAAACTATGAGAAAACAAACGAAATCTCTTTTTGCTCGCAGGAGAGGTCAAAATGCTGCGGAAGAAGAAGACGCGCACCGTCTTCAGCCGCACCCAGGTCTTCCAGCTGGAGTCCACCTTCGACCTGAAGCGCTACCTGAGCAGCACCGAGCGAGCCGGGCTGGCCGCCTCGCTGCAGCTCACGGAGACGCAGGTCAAGATCTGGTTTCAAAACCGCAGGAACAAGTGGAAACGCCAGATCACCGCCGACATAGAGAGCGGTGGAGCCGTCGTACCTTACGCCGCCCACAGGGTCGTCAGAGTCCCCGTGGTGTACCGAGAGAACATTGGCACGCCTCTGACTCTGGGCGGCCTTCCTCAGGTGTCGCCACCAGTTATTGGGGTCTCGGATCCCACCTGCCCACTGACTGGACACCTCACCCACCCATTGGTGTTTATGTCACCACCGATGACAGGACTGGTATGATGTAAGGAGCTTTGGACATAAAGAGACGCTATTAGCAATTCTAACACACTAATTTAGATGCTCTGATTTTATTTTTTTTTTATACCATTTCTCTTGGAAAAAGGCGAAGGGAGCCTGGTTCTCAGCCCAGGGCAGCATTTCGTCATGGGGCGGCACCAGTTGTACAAAAAACAATTCTGTCATTTACACATCAACTGAGTTTTCTGTTGGATATTTTTGTGTCCTGTTAAGGCTTACTCGGCGTTGAGAACTGTGTAAGCAGATATCCAGGACTAAAGTAAATTTATAGAGCTACTGAATATCAATATTCTCCATTTTTGTAAGGAATCTGGAATCTTTGAATCATCTGAACTACAAGATAAATATATATTTAACTGGAATAATCCCTGGTGAACAGGGATTCTTTTGCTTTTATGTCAGTATTACCACAAACATCTTCTAATGGCAACTCCCAGCAGGATTATACCTCCCTCTCAAACTTAATCTCAAACTGGCTTCTTCAAGATTATGATAAATTCACTGTATTACTATGGCCTTCACAGTCTTAAGATCTTAATCCGATAGAAGTATTTTAGGAAAAAGATTTATGTTGTAGATGTGCAGCACTCTGACAATTATCTAAGATGGCTGGTGAGTACTGTAATGTAGTTTCTTTTACTATTGCTATTCACACTTCAGATCGTAATGTTTTTTTATATAACCTGATGAAAATACATTATGGACTTTTGGATTATGGTTTCATTTATTAAAAGGGTCAACACTTACTCAGATCAACCTGGAAAAAAAAATGGACCACTTTAAATTATAAATCAACTATGACGATCAACGGTTTTAGAAGCTGATTTCTATTTTACCAGCCACATACGATTGATTGAATATTTAACTTAGGCTAAAATATCTCAAAAAGCAACTATTTTTGGCCTGATCTGACAAAATTCAAGGACAGTTTAGCAGAAAAGTCATTTATACTCGTCAGTCTGGGAAGGTTTTCAAAGTGATTTTAATGGGTTTGGAGCTACAATGAACCACATTGATACGATTCACAAATGAACAAAGAACGGCCAGCCGACCAAAAATACTCCATAAGCACCTCAACAATTCATCCAAGCTGGTCTCTACTGGAAAATCATGACTAAAGCCATCAGGACCTAAAATATGGGACATGGAAGAAGGCAATGATCCAGAGCTTCGATCTAACCTCTGACTGTCTAAGAAAAAAGAAAAAGTAAAAGTTTTGTAGTGACTTAGTCCAAGTCTGGACAAGTCAAAGTTATAACTTGAACCCATTTGAGATTGCATGATCATAAACAGGTTGTTTGTGCTTAAAAAAACAACAATTGTGGCTTAATACTAACAATTCTGTGAAAAAGGTGGACTAAAACACAATGAAAGATATTTTATTACCTTTCCAGGGACAGCTACCGTTTCCTTATTTAAATACATTCATCATTGTAGTTTGTTCGGCTTTCATAATTAAAGCAAAAATAAATAAACTGGGAAATTATTTTTCATAGCGTATTGGGAGGCCAGTTTAAGTCACACAAACCTTCCAACATAATCTCCCAAATTCCTTCATCGCTTAAAATGTTTACTATGTAATCACTATCAATCAGTTACAAAAACACATTTTATTATATGTGAGTTTTCACGACAATAATTGTAATCACGACTCATACCTATTATTATTATTACATATTTTGTTATTTAAGAGGATTTTCATACAGACCTTTGTACCTTTTTGAGTCACAAATGTGAATAAAATGTATGCACCAAGATGCACAACAGCTTCCATGTGTTTTGGATGAGTGTGCATGCACCAATATGAGCAAAAACTGAACTGAAATCCAGATGAAGGAGTTCAGAGTTCAGATCTGCATGGTTCTTTAAAAAACACAGAACACCTTGACGCCTTGAACTCATTTTTAGATTATCAAAAAAAAAAAAAAAAGAAAATCCTGTCAAAATTTCAGTTTGAGTTTTAAAAAAATCTTGAACACATTTGAATGTCAATGGTGCCTTTAATTACCAAGACTGAGCTCTGTGTTCAATCTAATCTGAATTTAATTTGCACTATTCGACAGGAAACAACACATTTATTTTCATGGCTCAAAAAAAAAAAAAAAAAAAAAAAAAGTTTTAGGCTACAATATGGCGACCCGACGTGAACGCTGATCCCGCCTCTCGTCTGCTCCTTCATCTCCACCAATCAGGAGCCGGTGATCCCGCACCCTTCCGGGATCACCGGCTCCTGCGCGTGCCAGTCTCAGCGGTGGAAGCGGAGCGATGCGGCTCGGAGAGACCGAGTGTGGAACCCAGCAGGAGCGCATGAGATGCCCGAGAATATGAGCAAAGAGGACGGGCCGAGTCGGAGCGCATGTTTCACATTCACCATAGACAGCATCTTAAACCTGAAGCAGCGGCAAGACGGCGCGCGTTTGGACGCCTTAAAGGAGCAGAGGGACACTGGGAGTAGGAGTGATTTTCAGAGGAGATGCGAAGAGGTATGGGACGTCCCGAAGAAGGATGACAGCGAGTCAGATGTGACAGGTGACTCCCATATTTCTCTACTTTCAATAAATAAAATAACGAACAGGATTTTATTTCTTTATTTTTTAGCAACATAATTATGCTTTAAAGCATGAAAGCGCACTTTAATTTAATCTGAAAAGGTTTAAAGAGTATTTCGTCACCTCTCTACACAGTGAAGCCCACAGTCCATTCAGCGGAGCGCGGGGAGAGCGCCGCGCCGCTCACCGCTGCCTCCTCTCCGGAGGCGCAAGGCGCGCACGGCCCCGAGCCGCAGCAGCAGCAGCAGCAGCCCGCCGCCGACACCAAAGCCGCGGTCAAGAAGAAGACCCGCACCATCTTCTCCAAGAGGCAGATCTTCCAGCTGGAGGCCACCTTCGACATGAAGCGCTACCTGAGCAGCTCGGAGAGGGCGTGCCTCGCCAGCTCGCTGCAGCTCACGGAGACCCAGGTGAAGATCTGGTTCCAGAACCGCCGCAACAAGCTCAAAAGACAGCTGTCCACGGACATGGAGGGCCCGCTGGCCGCGGAACACTTCGCCGAGGCGGGGAAAAACACGCAGCTACCGAGTTTCTACAAAGACAGCAGCCTGCTGGGCGGATGTTTGTTACCCATGCCTTTCCCCGTCGTGTATCCGACCGCGAACGCCGCGCCTTACATCTACTTCTCCAACTCTGCCAAATACTTTGGCCTGTTTGACGGAGACTGAGTGGGTTTGTTCTTGGACACTACAGGCGACAATCATCTGCGATCAGCTTATTTTAATATTATTATTATTATTATTATTTTAATTAAATCTCCGGCCTGGTTCAAAGGATTTCTCATCAACAAGTCCCAAACATGCATGTGCCACTTTTTTCTTTTCATTATTAATTATTATTATCATCATCATCATCACCATCATCGCTGTTGTTGGAGTTCATCATCTTCACAGTAAAGGAGCATGTATCAAGTCTCATTTGATCGAATGTACCAAGTGATACATCAGCTTTGTTACCCCGCAGTAATACTTCACTGCGTGTGTGTGTGTGTGTGTGTGTGTGTGTGTGTGTGTGTGAGCGCGCTTCTGATTTTGTGTATTTATATAAGGCCTTATTATTGTTTGTGTTACAGTTTCTGTTCACTTGACATTTGATAAGACTGTTAAACTGTGAACGCAGTTCTAATCATGACAAAGAATTTTGCAATAAAATATGCAATCCATACCATCGCCGCTATTTGAACGGAAAACCCGCCTGGCTGCACATTTACTAGTCTGTGCAGACGGACTTGCTGCAGAAGAAAGTATTCCCCCCACCCCACTCTTTCAAAGGGGAACCTGTGCATAAGTACTCAAAGTAAACCTGATTTTTTTTTTTTTTTTTTTACACACCTAAAGTTTCTACTATATTGTCGTGTTTGTGTTTGTTACAGCTTAAGTCAGCATGAGGCTGAAAAACCTGAGAAAGCCAAACATAAATCCCATGATGTCATTTTATTTTTTGACAACTTTTTTTTTTAAAAAGTTACATTTTATTTTAACTGTCAGGTTTTTGGCAATAATTACCGTATTGTTTAAACTCATTCATTTAGACTGAAATATCCAAGAGAGATAAAACAGTGAAAAATATTTTAAAGTTACAAAGTGACTAGATAATTTTAAAAAGAGCTGCTTTCTTTGTAATTATAACGTTTTTAAGATTAAAGGAAAAACTGCCACTTACAAATATTTTAAGTAGCAAAGTTCTTGTTTGTCCTACGTCTATCGTGAAGCAGTTTAGTGTGAAAGATTCACAGTCACTGTTAATTAGACGGAGGTGGTGCTAAGTAAGCTGTGTCCAAGTATGAGAAATGAAATAAGGTTATGATAATCATTACTAGAAAACATCTTTAATCTGAATCTCCAAATTGAACCCTTCTTTAACAGTTTCCTATAAAAAGTTGTTTTTCTGATTTATTTTTTAATTTTTTGGAGCTGAAGAAATAATTAAAAGATGCTTTTCCCTCTGTGATAAACTCCATGTGGATACTGTGGAGTTAATAATGTTTATAGGGTTGTGGCAGAATATAAAACTGTACACTGAAACATAAAAACTTAAGTACATAAACAGCGCTCTCTCTCTTACAGTGATCTGAGGTGAATTAGACTCCAAAGGGCTAATATATTCTGGAGTTTACGTGTGAGTTTGTTTGTAATGCCGCCACACTCGTGAGCAGGAACTGGCACAGAAAAACAAACTCTTCCTTGTGCTGTTGGTTTGAGCGACGTGTCGCTGCAGAAACACTGAGGGAACCGGGCGAAATGTGTGTTTTGAGCAGACTCACCGCGATGCTTCTGCACAGATTTTTATTTTTTTTTTCCTCTCTTTCTCTAAAGAGGCCGGGGCGAGCCGCACTTTACTCGCCGTTTCCGGGTCACTTGTCCCTTCAGTGCTGGAGCCTCTCGCTGCTTTCTCCCTGTCACAGCCGTTCAAGGCCCCGTCGCTGTTAACCTGCTCATTCACCCACTTAGTGCGCCTGCAGATCGCTTGTTGTTTCTGCTGAATTCCTGTCTTTTTTACCTTTGCTGTGTGCACTTGCATCCTTTGCCAAAAAAAAAAAAAGAACAGAAAGTTTTTGTTTTCTAATGTCAAACCGGGGCTCATTTTTGAGTTTGAACTGTAAAAAACAACAAGTTAAAAAGTCATAGATATCATTTTATTCCACTCTATTTCTTTCTTTGTTCGTTTCCTTTGTGTTAATCCATACATCTATGCTAGAATATCTACTTTCAGGCCCTTGATGAAGCCGTCTAAACTAGACGCCAGACAACTTTTGGTGACTTTTAGCAAGAAGGGATATTTAACTAATAGGCATACAAATCAGCTTTTCTAAAATCCGGCCGTTTGCCTTTAACATTTTAACTTTGCTCAGTTTCAGATGAAAAGCATAACTTTGGGTTAATTTGTTAATGTAGGGTGGCGTTCATTTTTCTCCATAATTATTAACACCCATAATACAGATGTACAGAGGGACCCCATGTTAATTTATTTTCATTTATCTATTGATTTAGTAGAATAATCTAAATCACACTAAAGAACTTAGCAAAATACCAACTTTAAAAACTGAGAACAAATACTAAGCGGCGAACATGAAACACGTTGAAATGTTTTTAATGGATTCATTTTGTGTTGCCACTATGAAATAAACTCAGCAGATCTCGCTCTGTGTTGAAACCGTTCATAGTGAGGAGGTGAAAAAGGTTTTTTTTTTTTTTTTTTTTAAAAAAAAAGGTTTCTTTTTAGAAAACTGCAGCAAAGAGTAACTTAGTGTCGCCCAGCATCTATAAACAGAAACATTTAATGACTTTTATTAACATTTTTACTAGGGGTGCTAGTAATTATGGATCATGCTTTGACTATGAAAGCATAATAAGACAATATGCTTGGATTAGTGTAAACTTAAAGAGCCATAGATAGAACCAAGAGGAACTCAAATGTAGAATATTACCTTCCACAACATTTTGAACCAAATATAATTTTTGCCTCAGAGGTGGAAAAAAGAAATCTGTTTCTGACCAGTAACGTTTTACAAATAAATATTAATTTAAACCGAACTGGAAAGCATAAACCAGACAGTAGACTCAGGAAAGAAAAGAAAACAAAACAGGCAAAATATTAATGAGATCAATGATTAAGATTTTTTTTCTTATTCAAATATTAGTTGTATTGTAAAAGAGTTACTTCTGTGTGTGTGTGTGTGTGTGTGTGTGTGTGTGTGTGTGCGTGCGTGCGTGTATTCTAAAAATAATTTGGTGGGCATATATCCAAAGAAATCCCATAAATAAATAATATTTTAATTTAAATTAATGTTTTTCAGCAGTGAAATTACACTTCGCACGTCTGATGATATTCTTACAAAGCTGTAATTACAAGTGAGTTTAAAGTTTCTGTACATATGTTGGTTTTACCGTTTGTAAGTCTGGTGAGAATGATACAGTGTATTAGGGGATTGTATGAACAGAACAGCTCAGTGTGGGTGATAATGTGTCTTCAGAGTTGAAGTGTGTGTGTGTGTGTGTGTGTGTGTGTGGATGCTCCGGTGGTGTTTACAGTCGCCAGACTTCCTGACTCTCCCTCTGTCGGACGCTTGTGAACGCAGCGTTGGCTCTTTGCGTCTCAGCACTCTCTCTCATCTGCAACCACAAGGTTCAAATGACCCCAGCGGCTGCGAGCAGTCTGCCCCGAGCCAGACTGAAACCCCACAGCCTCATCTGTCACAGGCGAAAAAAGATC